GTTTAGTGGCATCATATTTGGACAAGGCTGACTAGAGGAGAGAAAAGAAAAATCATGTTAGAAACGGCCAGAAGAATCTTCCCAAGACAAAATCCTATGAAAAAGGAACCCCAACAGCAATGGGAAAAAACTCAAAAATATCTTCTGAATATCTCTTAGGAGAGACAGGCAAAGTAGGCATCTGGAGGTATTAAACCCATCATGGTAGCAACAGAACCCTGAAGAAGCAGCCTAGAACACCTACAGGGTCACTGTTTCACCCAACCTCATTTGCCCAAGGGAAATGAGGCAAGTTAAGCAAACCATTACACATAACTAAGCGAGTTTGAGCAGGGAAAAGTCTGATTCTAGTGGGGAAATGAATCACAGGCAATAAGCAGCCAGAACAAAAACAGCTTTATTTGGACAGAATGACACCACCAGCAGATGGACCAGACCTATATAGAGAAGGAGGCTCTGACACTGAGCCCTGGTTCTCCTGCAAAAGTGCATTCCAATTAGCTTGCCTGTGAGCAGCTAAAAATAGAGCCAGAGAATGTAAGGGAATGAAAGAAAGGTGAGCTTCCCCGAGGAGCTACTGGGGTGGGAAGTTTGGGGGCTATCACCTGTCAGCTGATGCTCCCCAGGAAGCAACAAAGAGCCTGTCCGAGAAATCTATCCCACTTAAACTGCAGGGTGTCACCAATGAAAGCTGGGAAGATGGAGATACCACAAGGACTCAGAGAGGAAACATGGCCTCAAATTGAGTGCAAACTCACTTGATTAAAAATAAAAAACAAACAAAAAAAAACCCTAAATAATCTACAAATATGGCTAAATCCAACAGCCAGCAGCATCAAGAGGAAGGTAAACAAGTCAGATCCCAGGACAATAAATTTCTCCAAATGACACCAGTGAGGGCCAAAGGTGTGGGGGCAAAACACAAAGGACGATTGTCTTTTGTGCAGGGAACAGCATCGCTCTCCCTACTGCTCCCAAAAGGAGCTGTGAGCACCAGTTAGGCTTCCTGATGACCAGATAACACTGTTCATTCCCAGCAGCTCCCACCCTAGATGCCAACCATGATGGACCTTGAACTCACATCCTCCAGGAGCCGTCCTTCTACCCGAAGCTCCCAGGAAGCCACCGTCCCTTCCCCATCCTCGGCATCTGACTTAGCCGGATTGAAAGTGTTAGAAATGAAAATTCGCAGCTTCCGTTTTTGCTGAGGAAGGCAGAAACAGGATTGATCGTGGGGCTGCAGTGGTCTGATGTTGAAGACAAGGGTCTCCCCAAACCCCAAAATTACTCCTAATAGAGTGGCTTACTGTCTACCCAGTCCCTTGAATGGATGGATAAAGATTCCATTTAGAAGAGGAGTACTGGCCATCAGCCTAAGTACAACTGTAGACAGTGGGATGCCAGGTGGACAAAGTCATGCAAGGTGCCAGGTTCCCAAGGTAGCAAAGCAGTTATAGCAAAAACATGGCCAAGGGTATATTTCTAGTGCAAGAGACATCAAGAGCCCCTCCCCCTTTGCCATTCTGTTCTTATCCTCCTAATGTAATTCTCAGTTTGTAGGCGGAAGGGAGAGATGCAATTTAAATGCCAAGGAGAGTTGTGCTGTGCCTTTGATTTCTCATGCTAAGCCTGCCGAAGGTTCCTGGGTCCTCTCCTTTGGCTCTCTGCCTAGTGCTTTCCTCTGTTACCTTGATAGGACGTTTCAAGGCCTCTTGGATATCTAGCCGTTTCCTCATGATAGTCTGGTCCAGTTTCCTTTCAAAAGCCAAGAGATCCATGTAGGCCTGGGATTCTGGTACCAGTTCACGAATCTTAGGAACAGAAAAATTAATGAGATCTAGGATGATCATCTCTATACTCAAAGTCACCACACTTTCCAGAAGACCTATAGCCTGGACTCACCCTTTGAGGTAGAATTTTGTCAGCCATCTTCTTTTTCTTTGCACTGCTGGGAATACATACCATTATAAGGTTGAGACAGAACTAGTCAGAATGTGAAAATAAGCTGTCAGCATGTCCATTTATAGTAATGCAAAGGGATTGCAAAACTTCTCTCAAATCAAAGAACCACCACCACCACCACCATCACCACCACCACCATCACCACCATCACCACCATCACCACCATCACCACCACCACCACCACCACCACCACCACCACCACCACCACCACCAAGCATTCTCGAGGATCAGTCCTGTAGGACCATCTGCTGACAAAGCACCACTACTTCTTGGTTCAGGTACTCCCACCACCTGTGTCCTCCCAGGCCTCCTCCCTCCCTCCCTCTGCCCTAGGATCATCTTACTTGTGGTTTCGATTTTGGACCGCCTGCTGCTGGACCTGCTGGATCTGCTGAGGGGCAGGTCTCTTGCGGGACTGGTCTATCCCTGACTGGGCCAGGCCAGGTCGGACTGAAGGGTTCCCCCCATAGCCAGGAGGTCCCATGGAAGGTCCCTGAGGTGTCATTCGGCTGCCTGGCAGCATACCTGGTCTCTACAGAGGGGAAAGGACCCAGAGATGTCATGGTTTCACCTGCTAAATCCCACCAAGAAAGAAAAGCAGGGGATGCGTGAATTAACTGAATGAAGTAAGGTTTAGGGATGGAATGGAGGACAATGAGAGGAGAATCCTTTGCTCCAGTAGTTACTCCATAGAAAAATAGGGTCCAAAAGCTAAGAGAGTCAGATTATATTGAAATTCTCCTCAGTCTATTTTGGATCGGACACATTGGACATCTCGAATTCCACATTTACTCTGCTAGCTACTATCTCTTTAGAAGCTGATCTCAATTTGCCAGCTACATCTGTGATCCTCTGATCACTGGATGGAGCTGCTCAAGCCCCTTTGCACTCTGGCCCTCGTAAAGGTATCCCGGACCCACTTCACCCACCCTGTATCTCCACCGACTCCCCAAGGAAACAATGCCCCTAGGATCAGGTGGGGACGCTAACCGCCTCCCTCAACCCCCACCCAGAGCCCGAACCCCTCCCAAGGGAGTCCCTCCTACTTCTCCTCCGACCCCTGTCACTCCCAGGTCCCGCTCGGCCCCGCCCCCGGCCCGCGCGCCCCTCCTCCTGCCCCACTCACCGGATAGGCCGCTCCAGGCATCGGGGAGCGGTACAGCCCTTGACCCGGAGCCGGGCCCATTCGCACTGGAGGCCCCGGAGTTCCGCCCGGGCCCAAGGCAGCAGCCGCGCCCGCCCCTCCTGAGGCTCCGGCGCTGCCGCTGGGAGCCACAGACTGGAAACCCGCCCGGGCCGCCATCTTCCCGGAGCCGCCGATGCAGCTGCACAAAGAACCGGAACCGGAACTCCCCCCGCCCCCCGCGCGCCCCCCGAGATCCCGCCTGTTCCCCCGGCCGGCCGGCCGGCACGGGAGGCTCAGGGTAGCGAGACTGTGGGCTAGAGCGGGGGGCGACTAGCGGAAAAGGCGTGCTGGCCACGCCCTCCCGCCTTCACGGTCCAGGAGGGAATACCATAGAGAAGAGCTCTGGGATAGAAAAGCCCCGTGAGCGGGCGCCCCCAGGCCGACGGGAGGAAGACAAGGACGGGGAAAGGGGGACCGCAGCCTCAGCCCGTCTCAACCCTGCCCTGACTTCTAGCCCTCTGATGAAGAGAGGCTTTGAGTAATAGCTTCATCTTGACGCATGGCATTAACTTTCCAAAACGCTTTGATTGCTTTTCGTTTCATTTTCTTACTGCTGTAACTGTCCGGGGCTGAGGAGGGAAACGCACAGTTTATTCCGTTTTACAAATGGGAAAGCTGAATTCACAGAAGGTGAATGACTTGGCAAAGGTCAACCAGCAAGTTAGCAGTAAAGCCCAAGCCAAGATTCCAGATCTCCTTGCTCATAGCCAGAGACTTACTCCACGGATAAAGTGCCTCAATAACTACCTCATGTGGGAACTTCAACCTAACTTTGTCTCTGGCCTAACCTGCTTCCAGATTATTTTATTATTATTATTAGATGACGTCTCTCTCTGTTGCCCAAGCAGAAGTGCAGTCGTGCGATCTCAGCTCACTGCAACCTCCGCCTCCCGGGCTCAAGTGATTCTCCCTCCTCAGCCTCCGGAGTAGCTAGCTGGGACCACAGGCACGCACCACCATGCCAGGCTGTTTTGTATTTTGGTAGAGATGGGATTTCTCCATGTTGCCCAGGTTGGTCTCGAACTCCTATACTCAAATGATCCGCTTGCCTCAGCCTCCTCAGATCCTGGGATTACAGGTGTGAGTTATTGTGCTTGATCTGAGATTTTTTTTTAATATTAAAAAATAGTTTCGCACCGGGCGCGGTGGCTCACGCCTGTAATCCCAGCACTTTGGGAGGCCGAGGTGGGTGGATCACAAGGTCAAGAGATCGAGACCATCCTGGTCAACATAGTGAAACCCCGTCTCTACTAAAAATACAAAACATTAACTGGGCATAGTGGCGCGTGCCTGTAATCCCAGCTACTCAGGAGGCTGAGGCAGGAGAATTGCCTGAACCCAGGAGGTGGAGGTTGCGGTGAGCCGAGATCGCGCCATTGCACTCCAGCCTGGGTAACAAGAGCGAAACTCCGTCTCAAAAAAAAAAGAAAAAGTTTCGCTACGTTTTGCAGGCTGATCTCGAACTCCTGACCTCTAGTGATCTGCCCACCTCAACCTCCCAAAGGGCATGGATTACAGGTGTGAGCCACCGTGCCAGCCTGCTTCCAGATTTTATAAGTTCCAGTTTATCTTGAATTTTCACCCTGCTCTCTCGCTAAAGCATCCTTTGTGGTGCTGGGGATTGTTTTGGACCTTTCTTGCCTTTGACTCCTCCCTCTTTCCCTGCCCAGTGATTCAAACCTATCCTGGGTATGACGGTCAGCTGGTCCCATTCCAGAAGGACCACACTCTCCCTACTCAGACCTTCTTCTTACTCATCCCCTAATTGTTTGGCCCCAAACCAAGCTCAGCTCTAAGCACTTAGTGAGAATACCTAAATACTTTTCAAATAAGAGAACAACACTGAAGAGGAGATGGTTGAAACCCAGTTTATTAGACCAGAGGCATGCGTCACCCAGAGCCCTGCCTGCTGTTCCCCTCTCCAGTGCACACTTTTTGGCCTCATTCCTGCTTCCCTCTGGGGAGGTATGATCTCTGAAAAACTCCTAGGAATCAAGAGTTTCCAAAGATCCGATAGCCATACTCTCCAGCTCCAGGCCAATGCACAGGTGACCTGCCCATAGGTCCTGATCTGGGATTGGAGACCAAGACACATCTGGGGAAAGAAGGCCTGGAGAGGGGTTGGGGCTCAGGCCTGGGAGGAGTGTCTGGTGGAGGGAGGGGGGTGGCCCTCCACCTCACTTGTCTCTCATTAAGACAGGGAGGGACAGAACAGCAGAGCTTTCAACTCCTCCTCTAGGGCCTCTCTTTCCTCCCAAGCCCACCTCACCAGAAAATAAAAGTGGTGGGCTTGGGAATCAGGTGAGAAGAGGTGGCTGGGCACCCAGAAGGAGGAAAGGCCACTGACTGAGAACCTCAGCTTCTGCCTGTCAGCATCCCACTGCCCCAGCTTCAGGAGTCGCCAGTCCCCAGCTCCCTTCCGTCTCTGACACGCTTGGCTTAGTGTTCAGAGCAGACCTCCATCCCCTGGGTAGGGGCTATTCTATAGCAACCCCTTCCCTGGGGATGCCACGGTCAGCTGGGCAAAGGGCAGCGGGATAGGAGGAGCAGGGGAAGGGAATGTTAAGGCTGCAGGGAGAGCTGAGGGTGCCCAGGTTCGCGGAGAGGGTGAGGCCAGAAAGAGGCAGAGCTTGTGATTCACAGCTTCCTTTGTCGCCACTGAGACAGTGCAAAGGTTACAATGCGCGTGTCGTCTCCTTGTGCTTCTCAGAGGGATGTGTGTACACAGTACAGACACCAGGGGAGAGAGTCCAACTCTTTATACAGGCGAAGGCATTCAGAGACCAGGAAGGGGGCAGAAACACAGAAGGTAGAAGTTGGGGTGGGAGAATGGTTCTCAGAGACAAGAGGGGATGGGGTGAAGACAGACAGGACTGGGGAAAGTATATACAGAGATATAGCAATATAGAGTCTGTATCATATAGAAATAGAAAATGCAGATGAGGTTGTTGAGAGAAGCAAATGAAGTTGGGGAAGAGGATGTGGGAGAGTTCCATAAGAAAATTTATGGACGTGGCCCTCTACAGGGGCCTCCGGGAGAGGGACCAGCGAGGTTGGGCACCAGCGCCCTTCTCCCTGAGCTGGACGCTAACCAGCCAGGTCTTTTATGGGATGGTGAGGGAGGGCTGCCTCTTGGAATTTCTCTCCAGCAGCTGTGGGGCTGGGGTAGGGGGGGAATTTATAAGTATCGGGATGTAGCCTACAGCACCAGGGCCACATCTTGTCCCCATTTCTACTTCTTCAGGGGATCCCCGACCCCCATGAGATTCCGCATGGTGTGAGAACGTGGGGCTGAGGTTTTAGTTCCTGCCAGGAGACTTGGGTTTGGGGACAGTCACTGGGCTGAGAGGATCTCTTAAGGCTGGGGAAGCTGCCCTCCCCCACACTAGCCCTCCCTCTTAAGGTACATTCTCTGGTTTGGGGCCAAATTCCAGGCCCCAGGGATCCCTTCCACCCCTCACTGGGAGGGGGCTTTGGTGACTGGTGGCAGCAGAATGTAGGTGGACACTCAGATGACAGCCAGACAGACAGAATTCAGGCTGGGAGCTAGGGGAGGCAGCATGGAGGAGAGAAGGGCAGCCTGAGATCCCTTGCCCCATTCTCCCTTTTTCGTTCTTTTTTAGATTAGTTTTGTTGAATGTAAAAAGAATGGGATAGAGGCAGGGAGAGGACTCTATGGTCAAGACTCCTTCCTCACCACAGACAAGAAGAAAGATCTGCCCTGGAGTGTGGGGAGTCCCCAGGGCAGATGTGGGGGCAGCTGGGAGCCCCCTCCCTCTCCTAGTCCTCCCCATCTAGGCCTTTGGTTCAGCGGCCTGCGGGGCTCAGCAGGTAAAGTCCTCGAACGTGCCTCGGGCCGGATGGTGAGGTAGGATGTTGGCAGCGTATGTCATCCCGGCAGGGTGGCCCCGGAGGCTCTCGCATGGGTTCTGGGGGAAGGGCACAGGACAGGGACGGGTTATCCCTCGGAAGGGCCTCAGGTAGTGCTGGGGCGTTGGGGAGGCAAAGGAGAGAAGGTGGTGGCAGAGGCAGGTGGGCGGGGGTGGACGGGGGTTCCTGGGGCGTTGGAGGCAGGGGCAGGCCGGAGGGTGCCCTCGCTCGCTCCCTCACGTGTCTTTTGACGTCGTCCAGGCTGAGGGCCACGCCCTTGTCTGCGCTGCTCCTTTTGGCCTCCTTCTGGCACTTTCCTCGTCGGCACAGCTTGTGCTTAATGACCTAGGACCGGACGGGGCAGGTGGGCGGGCTGGGCCCCGCCCCCATGTGGCCCCGCGCCGGGCTCCGCCCCCGCTTACCTCGTAGGCGTAGTCAAAGAGCTCCAGCACCGTGAGGATGCTGGCCCCGATGAACAGCCCCATCTGGCCCCCGATGTCACCTGCGGGGTCGGGGGCCAAGGGGTCAGGACACCGTGGGGGCAGCAACAGGGCTTACTGGGACTTGGGCAGGCAAGTTGTATTCTCAAAGGGACTGGCAGCCTTCGCACAGAAGGATCGCTCAGCCAGATTCAAGTGGAATTTTTATTTTCTTCCCTAAACTTAGTTCTGCATTTTTCTACCTTTCTAAAACGAGCAAGTGTTTTTCAGGGAAAATAATCATTTACAAAATACCACAACTCTCTTAGTTTTTGGGTGAATTTTAGGGGCATATGAAATACTCTCCACTTCCATGCCTATCCCTCCCTCATGTCCACAGACCTGTCTTTTCTCCTATGCCCTAAGAGAAGGCTCAGTCCCCTTCCTCCACCACTTACCAAGACAGCAGGGTTTGGGGAAGGGCCTCTGGGGTGGAGGGCCCTCATGGGACAGAAGTGAGCACCTTGCTTTTGGATGATAGGGAGCCACGCCATCCCCATGGCATGGGAAGGGGACAGGTGCCATCAGCAGCTCACCCAGGAGCCCTGCAATCTCATAGGCCTTCTTCTGCTCAATGGTCTCATAGTTGAGGACTTCAAAGAAAATGTCCAGCACCAGGATGTTCTCCCTGCACAGGGGTTGGGGGAGGAGACCTAGGTTCAAGTCATACCTCTGTCTCTTACTAGCCAAGTGATCTTAGCAAGTCAGCCTCTCTGAATCTCAGTTTCCATGTCCATAAAATGAGATGCTGATGGAGATACCTGCCTTTTAGGGTTAAATGAGATGCCACATATGAAAAAATGTTCTGCACTGTATGCAGTATGCATCAAGTATAAGGCGACTCTGGGTCCAACAATAAGGATGAAGAGGGAGGAGAAAGGGCTGCTTCCCCTGCTTATTCTGGCTCGATCTTCCTGCATACCCACCCTAGATTCTTTGCTTGTCTCTTGGACCTTCCCTGTATTGTCTCAACTTCCTCCTGCCTGCCAGCCCCCACCCCCATCAAACCCCACTCATACACTCCACAGTCCCAGCCCAAGGGTCTTGCTCTACCCAGCCAGAGCCCTTACCCTATGTATTGCTCAGACTTGTTGAACTTCTTGGCCAGGTACTTGGCTGAGGCTTTGCTGGGGATCTTGACCATGGACAGCTCCTTGCCATAGCGGGTCAGGTTGCAAGGCATTTCACACACGCAGTACTCCTGGTCCTTCTCCACCAGGAAGTCTGCACTCAGCCAGGTGAGAGGTGCCAGTTGAGTGGTGCCCTTCTGCTAGCACCTTCCCACATGCACATCCTAGCTCTGCCCAGAGAGCCCTGGGCTCCTTTCTCTTTCTGTGTTCTGCCGGGATGTCAAACTCTGCCAACATCCTACCTCACCATCCAGCCTGAGGCATGTTTGAGGACTTTACCTGCTGAACCCTGCAGGCCACTGAACCAAAGATGTAGGTGGAGAGAACTAGGAGAGGGAGGAGACCCCCAGCTGCCCCCTCACAGCTGTGTCCACCTTGTACTAACACTCACCAAGCCTCCCCATGGATATTTCTTACTCTTATATCACTTTCTCAGGGCCCTCCAGGGTCAACTGGCTGAGGGGCTGATGAAAGAAGACGAAGCCCATCCCCAGATGACCTCTGTTCATTTTTCATAGGAGCCTCTGAAGATGCTATTCTCAACTTTATTGATTATTATTATTATTATTTTTGAGACAGGATCTTGCTCTTATCACCCAGTCTGGAGTGCAGTGGTGCAATCTTGGCTCACTGCAGCCTCTGCCTCCCAGGTTCAAGGAATTCTCCCACCTCAGCCTCTGGAGTAGCTGGGACTAGAGGCACATGCCACCACACCCACTTTTTTTTTTTTTTTTTTTTTTTTTTTTTTGTATTTTTCGTAGAGATCGGGTTTCACCATGTTACCCAGGCTGGTCTCAAACTCCTGGGCTTAAGCTATTTGCCCACCTCGGCCTCCCAGAGTGCTGGGATTACAGGTGTAAGCCATCACGGCTGGCCATTCCCAGCTTTAAAGTCAGACACAGGAGAGGCTGCAGCCCGGTCCAGGAGTTATCTGAGGCTTCTGGGAGCTTGACCTGAAACCCTGTGCACATGGCTGTCAGCACCTTTTCCCTCCCCCAGACTGCCCCAGGCCAGGGGCGCTCACCCAGAGCAGGATCTGCACACTCCTTGTACTGCTCTGGAGTACAGTATGGGGCATCCCCTACAGAGGAGAAAAGACAGTGATGCAGGATGGGGATTCAAGGGGTCTGGTGACAGTGGTAGTACCAAATAAAGGCCTAGAAGGTGTGAGCTGGGAGAGGATGGGAGGGGAGGACTGGTTGGCCCCATGCTGCCCCAGAAGTGACCCATTCCCAGTCCATACCTTGTCGACCCTTCCCGCCCATCCCTGGAGGTGAAGGCAGGAACTAAGGTCAGAGAGACAAGAGCCAGATGGGTATGGGATGGGGTGGGCTGGAGCTGGGGTGGGGAGATTGATATGGATGGGGAGTTAGTGAAGGGCGGCGGAGGCCCAGGGGCCCCAGGAGTGTGCTCGGAGCCTCGGGGCCTGACCTGGCATGTGCACCATGCGGCAGTTGCAGTTCTCCACCAGGTAGCGGGTCTCACAGTCGATGCGGCAGGCGGTGATGCTGTAGGAGTCGAAGAAATCCAAATCCGAGTCCATGGTAACAGCTTTGCAGGTGCCCCAGGGCGGGGGCAGGTAGATGAGCTGCTGGGAGAGCCAGGGAGCTGGGGGAGCGTGGGGCCTTCTCCCCAGATCAGCTTGATGGACTCCTCTGACAAGACGTGGATCTCTGGAGTTCTGCCCCCCTCTCCCTCTGCAGCCTCCGAAGGTCTCAGAGTTTACAGAGCATTCTTGTTCATTCCATCACTCATGCTTCTGACTAGCCAGACTACCATCCAGGTCCTCGCTCACCTGTCCTTCCCATTACTGATTGCCCGCCACTCCATCTGGACCCCTCAACACCCCACCCCAGGACCAGCCTCCCATGGCCCTCTCACCCGCTGCTCCTGGCAGGCCACAAAGGTCTGGAAGCCTGGGGCCACGCCAAAGCCCAGCTGGTCGATGAAAGGAGGTTCATCCTGACTATGGATCTGCACTTTGATGCCTGCTTCGAAGGATGTCTCGTCTAGGGGAATGAGGGGTGTGTGGGTTGGGAGGCTCCTGACTCCCTAATCCCCTTCAGACCTGGGGGCATCCTACCTCTCCTGGGAATAAGCATAGCATACACTGGGGCTGGGGTGGGGGAAGTCTATAGGGTCCTAGGCCACACCCCAGCCTCCTTCTGGGTTTACCAGCTCTGTGCTGCTCCTAGGACCCCTGTATCCTACAAACTTCTTTTCTTACCTGGCTTCTGCTCTGCATCTTGGTGTTTCAAATACTTTCTCCCAGAGTATCACTGTCTCAGATGCTCTCCACTTCTCCCCCCACCTTTCTCTCTTCTTCCCCATCTCTCTCTGCCCCAAGGCCCCCCGAGACCCAACAGGCAGGCAGCCTGAGAAGACAGGGAGTTATTTATAGAGTGAGTGGCGGCTGCTGATGGAAAAGGATGGCTGGTTACCTTGGAGAGTAACTGAGCCAGGAAGGGGGAGTCAGAGAGAGATGAGTGTGGAAGTCAGGTAGAGTCAGTGATGGAGATGGTGAGATGCTGGGGGCAGAGGGAAAAGCCCAGGCCCTGCCCAGGTCTCACGGTGAAACCCAGGAATCCTCTGGCAGAGACTGGGGCCTAAAGCCATTCGGAGGGGCCCCTGAGAGGGGTGACGTACCAGTCTCCCCCCACACAGGCAGGTACTCGTCCTGCTGGATGTCCAGCATGATTTCCAGTCCATTGCCTGTCCCACCCTTCATGGTCTTCAGCCGTGGCCGCCCATCTCGGCCTGAGTTGAACGTGTAGCACTTTCCATACCGTGTGAAGACCTGGCGGGGGCAGAGCGGAGAGCCTGAGAGTCCTGCCAGCACCTTCTGCTCACCAAGGGCTGTTCCCAGCCACCCCAGCTTTAGGATCTCAACACCCTTTGGGGTGTAGCCCAATCTCCATTTGCTCCCCTCTCCCACCTGTTTCCCACCCTTCCTTGCCCTCTGTGTGCCCTGGATAACTGTTCCTTGTAGGGAGCTTTGCCTGAGCTCCTTTGCCAGCTGCATGGGCTTCTAGTTGGGTTTGACCATTGGGAAGTTATCGGTCATGGATCAGAAGGCAGGAGGAAAGACTGGGGTATGAGTCCTTCCCCAGCCCTGCCTCCTCTGTAGCTCTAGTAGCAGCTTAGGCCCTCCATGATTACGAACCCTGCCAGGAGGGCTCCCTGCACAGCACTGTCTTCTTTCGTGCATCTTTGGCCCAGAAGTGATTAACGATTTCCTAATACTGCTCGCTGCCTCAGCCCGCCTCATTGGTCTACTTAACCCTGCCCACAGCTCTGTCAACAGTCCCTTTGTTAAAGTCTTCAATTGAATCACCAAGGGGCTGT